GTCAATAGACCAGACCCCGGCTGCAATGACTGCTAGTGGCCCCGGTCTACAGATACCACCCGCGAGAACTGATACTTTATCCCCTAGCGAATCGGATCCCAGAACAGGATGGATCTATCTTCTCAGACGACATGAACTTGAAAATGAAATGTTGAAGTTTAATTTATCCATTGAAGGAAACGTGGATACTCTTCGAAGAAGGTTCAGCTCATTCATCCGAAACGGGGGAAATTACGAAGAAACATCAACTCTGACGGCAACCACACAACCTCCTGTACACCCACTTGGCAGAGTAGCGAGTGGACTGCTTCAACCACCATCCTATGACAACACCCAAGTTGCCTCCGCATGGAGACCACCCATTCCAACATCTCGTCCACATAGTATCCGTAGTGCCGAGGAGATAAGTATCCGTGAAATGCTAGGTCTTCCCACTTCTGCAAGCTTCCGAGAGGTACAAGAAAAGCTCAAGGTGTCGTCTAGCCACGAAGGGACCTCCCCAGTCACAAAACCGCAAGCTACTTTCCATCCCTACCACGAGGGAAACACCGCTCTAGGGCCACATTCAGAATTTCAAGAGTACTTATTTCCTCGATCATCTCAGCAGAATCGGTCATTTGGGAATTTGGAAAAACAGAATGAAGTAGAAGCTAACAACTTCTCCCCGAACACTAAGACCAAGGACGTATCCCAAGTCTGCACTCAGGTCAGGAAATGGGGCCTTAAATTTGACGGTGACCACGACGCAGTGTCATTTATGGAGCGACTGTGCGAACTACAGGAATCATATGACATATCTTGCGATATGCTGATGAAGGTGTTACCAGAACTCCTGAAAGGTGAAGCCCTTTTCTGGTATAGGAATATTAAGTCCTCTTTGAACACTTATGACGACTTTCTGACCAGTTTTAAGGAACAATACTACCCCCCGGACTATTTGAGAAATTTGGACCTGGAAATCCTAAAAAGGACACAAGGTGAATTAGAACCAATCAGAAAATTTACGGTTGCTCTTACCACCCTTATGCGTCGTAGAGGTACCTTTTCAGTGAACGAGACACTGAACAAACTTTACTCAAACATGAGACCAGAGTACAAGCTTATAATGCGAAGAGAGAATTTTCACACGGTTAGAGACTTTCTTCATCAAGCTGAAGGATATGAACTTTACCTCCGGGAGAAGAAAAATTTCCGACCACCCCCGAACCCTGCTCAAGCGTTAGTGCCGGAAACAGCCTACAACACTAAAACTCGCTCATCAAACGTTTTCAAGATAGACGCCGTAAGTCAGCCTTTAAACCATCCGTCCCCCTGTGACGAATCACAGTTCACAGGAAAATCTCTACATCCCCCACCAAGATTGCAACCCAACCGGAGTACAAACAATAGCCACAAGGTAGCTCGGACAAAATTGGTTTCGCACCAGGCGTCTCCCTCACCAGCTTCTGCACCTAATACGAGATCTTCATGTTGGAACTGCTTGAAGAGTGACCACTTATATCGAGACTGCCCGGTGCCGAAGATAGTTCGCTGTTTCAATTGTGAAAAACCTGGACATGCGTATAAGGAATGCCGCTTACCAAAGAAACTAAGATGTGTCCATTGTAAAACCGAAGGGATTCGTACCATAGATTGTCGATGTCTATCGGGAAATGTGAGTCGAGGCCGGAACAGCAGAGGCAACCCGAGTCTCGAGAAGGAGAAGCCTCAGAACTAGCCAGCTGGAAGAAATGGTTAGAATTTATAAAGAATTTCAGTATAAGTAATTTTGCAGAACACGAATCTGCGGACACTCGGCCCTTCATCACTATTAACATCAGCGGCAAAGTCTTTCGAGCACTGTTGGACACGGGATCTATAGCTACTATTGTGGGAGAAAAGGTAGCCCAACATTTGATTACGAGTGGATATCAAGCCAAGAGATCAAATATCTCGCTAAGCCTGGCTGATAATTCTCGTGCGGTGGTAAACCAGGCTTTTGAATTCCCAGCCAGAATTAATCAAAATCAATGCATCATACGAGCACTCTATTTACCTCAACTAACTTCACCGATGATTATTGGCATGGACGTTATCCAGGCAGAGAAATTGATCCAGCTACCGAAGTATATCCCCCCTAAACCACAGTCTATGAGAGATGACTCACCTCCCACAAATGCGATCTCAACTTTAACCGAAGTTCAAAATCAGCGTCTCCAGGAATTTTTGAAGAAGGAGCTGGAGCTATTCAAAGACGTTCCGGGCCGCACCACACTGTTACAACATCAAATCCGTCTAAAATCGTTCACGCCGATTAAGCAGCGTTATTATCCCCGGAATCCGGCTATGCAGGCCGTGATTAACGAAGAAATTGATCAAATGTTGGCGGAGGACGTCATTGAACCATCTTCAAGTCCGTGGAGTTCACCTCTAGTACTCATCAAAAAGCCCTCTGGGAAATATAGGGTTTGTGTGGATCTGCATCGGGTGAATCAGTGTTCGGAAAAGGATGCATATCCCTTGCCACAAATCAAGGCTATACTCGACAAGCTGCGGGAAGCTAAATATATTTCAACCATTGACCTACGCAATGGATATTGGCAAGTGCCTTTGGAGGAGAAGAGCCGACCAATCACAGCCTTTACGATTCCAGGCCGGGGATTATTCCAATGGAAGGTCATGTGCTTTGGACTACACTCTGCGCCAGCGACATTCCAGCGTTTGTTGGACCAAGTAATCGGACCTGAGTTTGAACCCCATGCTTTCGCCTACCTAGACGATCTCATTATTGTCTCCAAGGATTTTGACCAACATCTTGAAATTCTGAAATTGGTATTCAAACGACTGCGTGAGGCTGGGCTGGTAATGAATGTGGAAAAATGCAACTTCTGCCAACAGAAATTAAAATATCTGGGCCATATTGTAGACGACACAGGCATTGGTACGGACCCCGAGAAGGTACAATCTATTGTTGATTTTCCAGCTCCAAAGTCCGTAAAAGGAGTCCGAAGTTTTCTTGGCCTGGCATCTTGGTATCGGAAGTTTGTTCCTGATTTTGCCCGGATATCAGCACCACTAACAAAACTGCTTAAGAAACATGGTCAATGGGATTGGCGTGAAGCTCAACAAGAAGCGTTTGAGACTCTGAAGCAAAAGCTTAATTCGGCTCCGATATTAAGCTGTCCAGACTTCACTAAGCCTTTCACCCTTCAAGTCGATGCCTCAAACGAAGGACTCGGGGCTGCATTAACCCAACAGCTGGATGATGGGGAAAAGGTGATTGCTTTCGCAAGTCGTCTTCTTTCTGATGGCGAGAAAAAATTCTCCACTACCGAAAAGGAATGTTTGGCACTCGTCTGGGCCACTCGGAAGTTCCGACCATACATAGAGGGATACCATTTCACGGCTATATCGGACCACCAAGCCCTAAAATGGTTGATGTCACTAGAGAAACCATCTGGGAGACTGGCTCGCTGGATCCTCGAGCTGCAACAACTGGACTTTGACATACAATACCGGAAAGGAGCTCTACATAAGGTCCCGGACGCCCTTTCTCGTTACCCGACGTTAGAATGCCCTGAAGTAAAGGGAGAAGAAAGAGTATTAAGCTGTGCGACCACTGGAAATACCACGAGGTCAATGCAGGATAGCGTAGTGGACCCAAAATATGACACGAGAAATCCCAAGAAGGCTAATTGGCTAGTTGACATTAGGGAAAAGTTAACGAAAGGAAAGTATGGAAGGAATTACACCCTTCGAGACGGGAAGGTGTACAAGAGAATTAAATCTCGGTCTACTAAGGGCGATTCTTCGTCTTGGTGGAAACTGTGTGTCCCTCCAGATCTTCAAGCCTCAGTACTGAAAGAAACCCAGGACTCCCCTACTGCAGGACACCTTGGGATGTTCAAAACCATACAGAGATTAACAGCCCGCTATTACTGGCCCCACTGTCGGAAGGCTGTCAAGGACTATGTGCGAAAATGTGAGATATGCCAACGGCACAAGGTGGACCAACAGAAAGCCATTGGGAAGATGCACTTTCGTCAACCTCACGGTCCTTGGTATACCGTCACTAGTGACCTCGTCGGGCCGCTTCCTCGTTCTCGCAAAGGAAATCGCTTTTTACTGGTGTGTCAGGACTCTTTTACCAAGTGGGTGGAGCTAGCGCCTTTGACAAATGCTACTAGCCATCAGGTCTCCAAAAGATTCACGGATCTTATCCTACTACGATATGGTGCCCCGGAAGTTCTGGTCACTGACAATGGCACCCAATATACCTCTAAGATATTTTCCGCACTAACTCAGAGCTGGAACATTACTCACCAGTTTACTGCCCCGTACTCTCCCCAAGGAAATCCGACAGAGCGAGAAAACAGAGTGTTAAAAACAATGATCGCTCAATACGTGAAGGGTGATCATCGCGCGTGGGATGACCACCTTGACGAATTTCGATTTGCTGTTAACACCTCAGTTCACGAGTCAACAGGGTATACCCCTGCCATGTTAAATTTCTGTCGGGAACTAAAGCCACCTCACTCACTCTACGGCGCCTTAATGGAGGAAGGTGCCAATGAGAATGTTTCTACAAACGATAGACATCGCCAACGCATTCAGCTGATGGAGCGATTGAAGAATAAGTGCCAAGCTAGTCTGCAAGCATCGCACAACCGTCAGGCCCGCTATTACAACCTACGTCATCGTGAGAATCCATTCCAAATTGGTCAGCTTGTGCTAAAAAGGACGCATGTTCTCTCTTCGGCTATTGATCACGTAGCAGGCAAGCTGGCACCAAAATTTGACGGACCATTCAAAATTATCGCAGGGATAGGGCGAAACATGTTTAGGCTGGAATGTCAGGGGAACCAAACTACCTGCGTGGCTCATGCCAAGGACCTTAAATTGTTTCACTCCTAGACACCTCGCACTCCTGCACCGCGGGTGTGTCGCCCCTTCCTCCCTACTAACCCGACGATTGTCGTATCCTACTGATCCCGACACACAATTCACTTTCTGTTACAGGCATGGAGCGAGAGCTTATAAAGGTCCCAAAACAGGAAATTGACAAACTGCGTCTACTACCCTTGTCAGATGGTGAGAAAGGGGGCTACCTAAACGATCTGCATATAGACAGCTATTTGCGTCTACTAGAGCGGCGAAGTCGCCATACCCCCGGACTACCAAACACCATGTGTATTGACTCACTTTTCCTGACCGACCTACGGAGGAGAAGAATCGATGCCGCCACTCGGCGATTCAGGCGAGTGAACCCCTTGCTACCGGAGCTCCTGCTGGTGCCACTCTTCATCCCGGGAAAGCCTGTGGGGCACTGGGCTCTGCTATCGGTACACCCAGAAAAGAAGCAGGTTCACGCGTATGACTCGATGGGATACAAACACCCCCAGGAGATGCGACAGCTATTTCACGCTCTGCAGAGATACGCGCGGGTGAATGACATTCCCTGGTCCCCGGAAGCCTGGCATCTGCAGGACACCTCTGATTTAGGGCCACGTCAAAAGAATGGAGTGGACTGTGGAATCTTTGTACTATGGTTTGCTGAGCTGCTGTCCAGGAAGCAACCCATCCCGCACGCTCCCTTCGAGTTGGACACCAAGTGGTAGCGTAATCACATAGTCGAGACCCTAACAAACCAACATTTGGGAAGCGTAAGTCTCCAAGGAGAAATCCCAATAGACCTGTCCGGTTGGGAATGGATGGAAGAGGCATCCAAAGGCAGCGCACCTTCCCCCTCACCAGCCATGGATTTGAACACCCTGATGGAGGCCCTGGGCGAAGCCTGCGACTCACCCATCGACCCGAAGCCAGCATTGCAGTCAGGGGAAGAGGATTGGGAGAAGGTGATCGAGGACGCCTTAGTCGAAGTAGCTGAGGGAGATCTTCTGCCTCCACCAGTCGTCGTCGCTTCGCCTGCCTCCCCTTGCTTGTCAGTCCAGGCGTCAGAAGAGCTTCTGGAAGACATGGACTGTACGGCCACTCCGGAGCAAGAAGAGGCTACGACCAGCACTGTCCCGGACGAACCCCATGTGGCCACTCCGAGGGAGGAGCCGTCGACGTTCCAGCCCAGAAGGTGGCGGCGGAGGAACAAGAAGAGGACAATTTACCTGCCCGACGGCACCAAACTGCGGGTGCCCAGAAAACTTTTGCTAGGTTACTAAAAAAAAAAAAAAAAAAAAATTTATATAAAAAAAATAATAAATAAGGCCCAGAGTAGTTATTTTGTTTTAAGGTATCTTTTTCGTTTTAGAAAAATGGATATTTTTAGTTAAATCTTTCTGATGTTGTTACCAAGAAGTGGTAGAAGTGAATAAGTTCCGGAGCTGTGATTCTTTTTTGTTCCTTTACGTTAGAAGTGATTGTTTTTTGTTCCTTTTTCTGTTTTTGTATCATGGATATTTTTACTTAAGTCTTTACCCAAGGAGTCGTCAATTGTGTTAAATGTTGGTCTAGAGTAGGATAAGAGCCAAAAAGTGTAAGGCTACTAGGAATATATTTTGTTTACTTTGGGAAAAAAGGGCTACATTATTTTATTTCAAAAAAAAAATATACCTTACATTATACCTATGAGTGGAAGCACCCTACCTTTCCGGTGGGCCCACATCTATCCTTCCCTACTCCCGAGATAGTTTTAGTTCTTTTTTTTTAAGGGTTTTTTTTTTGTTATAGAAGTTGAGAGGAGAATGTAACATATTTTTTTTTACTATGTTACAAAAGTGTATTTTATTTAATAGGAAATAGCCTGAATACTAGAATAAGATTACACCTCAGCTTGAAAATAAATAATTTAAATATTTAAATTAGTTATCAGAAATTATTACTTGAGAAAATTACATATATGATTAGTTAATTTTATGGAGTTGGGAATTAGTACAAGTTTAGAGTGTTTGAAAAGCCCGCCAGTCCAGTTGACAGTGTTTAACGTGTAGGCCACCGACCATGCGCCGTGGACTCTTTTGGCCGGACCGGCGTGTCGATTCCTGCACACCACCGGACATGCGCACAAGCGGCTAACCTTCTCTGCGACCGCGATCGACTCCAGGGGGTCGGACAGTTGATCTACGACTCTAAATCCGAGCAGTTCGAGTTTTAACCTTCTTAGAATCCTTTTTCGGCCGGCGTGAACCCTTGGAGTAATTAGTGTCCTGGAATTCATCTGGCGAAGGTAGGAGACGGCAATCAAACATTCTCTAGTTTGTATTGATTTTTACTATTTTATCAACCTTTTTATACCGTTAGTTAATCAGCTAAACATTCTGCTAATTCTTTGCTAATTAATTATTAATTGCTTTTAACTGACATTAGCACTCCTCTAGCTAGTTAGTCAGCTTAATACTTCCCGAGATTCCCGTCACTGACGCTAGCCTTTTAAACCGTTAGTTAGTCAGCCTAACAGTTTGCTAATTATCCGCTAATTACCTACTAATTGTCTCTTAACTGACACTAGCACTCCTCTAGCTAGTTGGTCAGCTTAATACTCCCCGAGATCCCTGTACTGACGCTAACCTTCTTAAACCGTTAGTTAGTCAGCCTAACAATTTGCTAATTATCCGCTAATTACCTACTAATTGTCTCTTAACTGACACTAGCACTCCTCTAGCTAGTTGGTCAGCTTAATACTCCCCGAGATCCCTGTACTGACGCTAACCTTCTTAAACCGTTAGTTAGTCAGCCTAACAATTTGCTAATTATCCGCTAATTACCTACTTATTGTCTCTTAACTGACACTAGCACTCCTCTAGCTAGTTGGTCAGCTTAATACTCCCCGAGATCCCTGTACTGACGCTAACCTTCTTAAACCGTTAGTTAGTCAGCCTAACAATTTGCTAATTATCCGCTAATTACCTACTTATTGTCTCTTAACTGACACTAGCACTCCTCTAGCTAGTTGGTCAGCTTAATACTCCCCGAGATCCCTGTACTGACGCTAACCTTCTTAAACCGTTAGTTAGTCAGCCTAACAGTTTGCTAATTATCCGCTAATTACCTACTAATTGTCTCTTAACTGACACTAGCACTCCTCTAGCTAGTTGGTCAGCTTAATACGTCTCGAGATCCCTGTACTGACGCTAACCTTCTTAAACCGTTAGTTAGTCAGCCTAACAGTTTGCTAATTATCCGCTAATTACCTACTAATTGTCCCTTAACTGACACTAGCACTCCTCTAGCTAGTTGGTCAGCTTAATACGTCTCGAGATCTCTGTACTGACGCTAACCTTCTTAAACCGTTAGTTAGTCAGCCTAACAGTTTGCTAATTATCCGCTAATTACCTACTAATTGTCTCTTAACTGACACTAGCACTCCTCTAGCTAGTTGGTCAGCTTAATACTCCCCGAGATCCCTGTACTGACGCTAACCTTCTTAAACCGTTAGTTAGTCAGCCTAACAGTTTGCTAATTATCCGCTAATTACCTACTAATTGTCCCTTAACTGACACTAGCACTCCTCTAGCTAGTTGGTCAGCTTAATACGTCTCGAGATCCCTGTACTGACGCTAACCTTCTTAAACCGTTAGTTAGTCAGCCTAACAGTTTGCTAATTATCCGCTAATTACCTACTAATTGTCCCTTAACTGACACTAGCACTCCTCTAGCTAGTTGGTCAGCTTAATACGTCTCGAGATCTCTGTACTGACGCTAACCTTCTTAAACCGTTAGTTAGTCAGCCTAACAGTTTGCTAATTATCCGCTAATTACCTACTAATTGTCTCTTAACTGACACTAGCACTCCTCTAGCTAGTTGGTCAGCTTAATACGTCTCGAGATCCCTGTACTGACGCTAACCTTCTTAAACCGTTAGTTAGTCAGCCTAACAATTTGCTAATTATCCGCTAATTACCTACTTATTGTCTCTTAACTGACACTAGCACTCCTCTAGCTAGTTGGTCAGCTTAATACTCCCCGAGATCCCTGTACTGACGCTAACCTTCTTAAACCGTTAGTTAGTCAGCCTAACAGTTTGCTAATTATCCGCTAATTACCTACTAATTGTCTCTTAACTGACACTAGCACTCCTCTAGCTAGTTGGTCAGCTTAATACGTCTCGAGATCCCTGTACTGACGCTAACCTTCTTAAACCGTTAGTTAGTCAGCCTAACAGTTTGCTAATTATCCGCTAATTACCTACTAATTGTCCCTTAACTGACACTAGCACTCCTCTAGCTAGTTGGTCAGCTTAATACGTCTCGAGATCTCTGTACTGACGCTAACCTTCTTAAACCGTTAGTTAGTCAGCCTAACAGTTTGCTAATTATCCGCTAATTACCTACTAATTGTCTCTTAACTGACACTAGCACTCCTCTAGCTAGTTGGTCAGCTTAATACTCCCCGAGATCCCTGTACTGACGCTAACCTTCTTAAACCGTTAGTTAGTCAGCATAACAGTTTGCTAATTATCCGCTAATTACCTACTAATTGTCCCTTAACTGACACTAGCACTCCTCTAGCTAGTTGGTCAGCTTAATACGTCTCGAGATCCCTGTACTGACGCTAACCTTCTTAAACCGTTAGTTAGTCAGCCTAACAGTTTGCTAATTATCCGCTAATTACCTACTAATTGTCCCTTAACTGACACTAGCACTCCTCTAGCTAGTTGGTCAGCTTAATACGTCTCGAGATCCCTGTACTGACGCTAACCTTCTTAAACCGTTAGTTAGTCAGCCTAACAGTTTGCTAATTATCCGCTAATTACCTACTAATTGTCTCTTAACTGACACTAGCACTCCTCTAGCTAGTTGGTCAGCTTAATACGTCTCGAGATCCCTGTACTGACGCTAACCTTCTTAAACCGTTAGTTAGTCAGCCTAACAGTTTGCTAATTATCCGCTAATTACCTACTAATTGTCTCTTAACTGACACTAGCACTCCTCTAGCTAGTTGGTCAGCTTAATACTCCCCGAGATCCCTGTACTGACGCTAACCTTCTTAAACCGTTAGTTAGTCAACATACAGTGTGCTAATGATCTGCTAATTACTTGATACTTGAATCTTAACTGACGCTAGCACTCCTAAGGCTAATTGGCCTTGATATTAGAACATAGTACAGGTATCATAGAGTACATTGCTGTATATTGCTAACCTCCACTAACAGTCCTGAGCTTATTGACACCAACCTCCCTTTGTTGGTTAGTCAATCGTGTCCTTTCTACTCGACAAACGGCCATTTCAAATTATATCAATTAAAGTATTCGAGCTGAATAGTCAAGAAAGTTGTTAATTATCACCGTTCACCAGGGTAAAGTCATTCAATTCTCCCGATCAACGTAATTGATTATGATGTTATGATGAGTGGTTAAACCACCAACACCTGTGGGCTGGTCTCGCCTGAGAAATACCACACTCTGAATCAATTACGTATTTTATTTTAAATTGTCCATATCTTTCAGTAATCCTAATTTGACTTGGAAGCTTTAATCCATCTATCCCAGAGAGATTAGAAATTACCGAAAGTATTCAGTAATAAAAGGTTTGCCCTTATCTTTGTTTACATATTCGGCCTAATATTATTACAAGATTATCTGATAACTCCCGATTAACTCTGTCCCCTGGAATTTTCTTAGATAAAGAAACCCCACACTGCTAGACTGTCTATCCGACGCTCAAATCT